CTCCCTCTGGGCTCCCGGAACTCTGCTGTTGTGGCATTTGTCATACTGTATCGTAATTCTCCATGGGCTCCGGGCAGAGAAGTCCTTGAGGGCAGAGGCCATGTCATTGCACCTCCTGCCAATCACAGGGACTTAGCACATGCCGAGTGACTGAGAAACACGGGTCAGCCTGTCTGGCACTGGCAGTGGTCAGGGGGCTCCTGAGGAATTGGGGGCTGGCTGCACACCAAGGGCCACTGAATCTTAGGCTCCAGGGCTAGGATCTGCTTGGCAATAACTCCAGTCCACATTTTCCACAGATGGTTCTCGTAATACACAGGCAGCGTGCCCAAGCCAGGCTCTGACTAGTTCCTCAAACAAGTTAAATCTTTCCTTTTGGGACAATTCCATCAGCAGGCAGATGAGCATGCTTCCCTGACAACCGTAGCTTTCACGGTCCCGACTGTGGGGCCATTTCCCCACTTGGTTCCTCATGGCCCCCAGCAGCAGCCTATTATACTTGGCTGGGCTTCTGGCTGGTGAGGAGATGAGCTCTGTCTTCCCAGATCTTGGGGTGGAAGAGAATTACATCCACACCCCCACCCACAGCCGCCTGTGCATGGCTGTGATGGAAACTGGCTCCTCATCCAACAGATCTCAGTGGAGATTGGAAAATGCTCGTTGGAGGAGGCTGTTGTGTCATTGTTGGTACGTGGAGGGAAGCCAGGCTGCAAATGAGACCATAGTCTTCCTATCGCCCTTGCTTTCCACTCCCATGGAAGGACGATGCCTGGGCACTCTCTGCCTTGGGTGGCCAAGTTTAATCAGATGAGGCTCACGGAGGCAGACCTGAGGGTGGCCAGACAATGGAAGGTGGGAATACCTGTGGACAAGTCACAGTCTAGGCTGTCCCTATCTGCAGGATGGTGCATGTTAACCCTTCAAGGCCCACTCAACATAGCTGGGCAGTGAGCATGATTTCTGGCACATGCGTTTGTAAATTAGCCTCCACCTGAGTCATGTCAACAGCCTCTACCCTGCACACCTTCAACTGGAGCCTGAGATTTGAACCTTGGAGTCCTTTCTGCTGAGTCCTTTGATAAGGGGACGTGCTAGGGTCTTCCTGTAATATGTAGCTTTGGAGGGAGTGCGAAGATGATTTAATTCTCTCAGTGAAAACGGAAGCACGTATTTATTTGGAAGGAGCACCGGATCAGGGGTCAGTTCCAACTAACATCTACCCAGTTCTGTGGAACTTGGGCCAGTCGTATCTCTGTCTTTTGCTTGGTTTCTAAAATTCCTTTAACGATGATTAATGTAGTGTTTAAAGAAGGGTCATGAATTATTTTATGTGCTTTACAAATATTAACTCATTTAATCTTTATAGTAGTCTATGATGTAGGCATAATTATTAAACTCATTTTATAGATGAGGAAAGTGAAGGACAGAAATGTTAAGTAATTAGTTCAAGGTCACATAGCTTATAAGTGGTGGAGTAAGGCTGAGCTTTCCTGGATCTCAGAATCATTATCTGTAAAATAGGTATAAAACTTGTTACCCTGCCCAGCCCAGCCCAGCATTTAGCTCCTTTGTGTTCCCACAGAGCTTCACTTGTACCTCTGTGATTATTGGAATGAAATACTCTTAAAATGTAAGCAGGATGAGGGCTTGGTTCACTAGCACAAATGGGTAGCACAGTCCCTAATGTGTGTAGTGGGCATTCAATAGATATTGGATGAATGAACGCATTGACCCCATTCCTCTCTGTTGTGTTGAAAGGGTCCCAGCTCTTCCCAAAACATGGTTTTCTGAAGGTGCGGATTGTGTCTTAATTTATCTCTGGGTCTTTAGACCCAAGGATGTTCCAGATAGATGCTCACTGAATGAAGGAAGCCACATTACTGCCCTTTGCCTTAGGTAGTTAGTCATCCCTAATCACAAAGGCATGAGGACACTTACATGCCATAAGCCAATGGACATTGACACCTGTGAGTTATGGAATAATCGTTTGTGGTGAAAAAAAAGATAAAGTGGAGGAAATGGGGTTCTTTCAATTGCTGTGTAACAAACTATACTCCAAACAAGGATTTATTATTTCTCCCCAAAGTTGGGCAGTTTTCTGTTCCATGTGAAATAGCCAGGGATAATCAAGTAGCTGCACTTGGCTGGGTGCTTTCCAGGGCTGGGACATCCAAGACGGTTTCTCATCTGGACCTCTCTTCTCCATGTGGTTTACCATCATCTGTGGTCTAGCAGCTGGCTTCTAAGAAACTGGCGCTGGAGCTCCATACACTCTTAAGGCCACGCTCAGGTGTCGCAGGACATCACTACTACCACACTGGCTGGGCAAAGTAAATCACAAGGCCAGACCAGATTCTAGGGTAGGGAAAATAGACTCCACCTCTTGCTCTGAGGAGCAGAATGTATGAGCAGAGATGGGAGAAACCATCGGCAGCCATATTGGACACTCTACCACAGGGGAGGACCAGGACTGGTGACAGGAACCTCGAATTATCTGCGTGCCAATGAATAGCTGTTGAGAGTTAGGCTGTCTTTTGCCTTCCAGAGAGTTACTGGTTTCCTACTCAGGTGATCCCTTAGGATGTTCAAACTTCCCACCTGTCCTGGGAGGTCAGATGACCAGGCTCTTGGAAAATACCAAGTTTTTTCTTCCGCTTTTCCAGGTGATGAAACAGAGGCATAGAGAGATGTGATGTGTGAGCATCATGCCATAGGTCAGGGCAGGAGGAGGGCTGCTATTGCCACGTGGTTAAGAGTGTGGATGTTGGGTTCAAATGTTGGTTTTGCCACCAAAATGACTGGATGATTCATATAATCTTGCCAGACCTCTACCCCTTTGTTTATTTAATGTGGATAATAATGCCTACTTTATATGTGGTGAAGAACGTGAGTTCTTGAGCCAGACTACCGAAGTTCGAATCCAGGTTCTTCGATTTATCACCCGTATTATCTTCGGATAAATCCTTAATTGTCCTCTGCCTCAGTTTCCTCTTCTGTAAAATGGGGATAATACTACTACTTATTATATAGAGTTGCTGTGAGGATCCAATGAGTTTAAACACACAGAAGCCTCTAGAACAATGCCTGGCACATGATTCACAATCAATGGATATTATCTATGATTATTAGAGTGTTAGTATGAAAATGACAATGAGATAATGCTTACAAAAGCCTCATATAGGCCGTGCCCACAGTAAGTGATAAGCTCTGATTGGTGGGCCATGAGCCCTGTAACCCATTCCCTCTCTTACCATGGCTCACACTTGGGGAAGTTTGGAGCAAACAATCCCAATTTCTCTCTAATTGTTGTGCAAGCAGCCAATGTCTTATTTCATCTGTTACAGTTTGCTGCTCACCCTGTTGCTGTTTCCTAGTGGGCAGGGAGACTCTGCCTCCTTCCCAGGAGAAGACTAGTCATGTCTCCTTGCCTCCCTGCGGGAAGCCCACTCCAGGGGAGTCCTTCCGCTGGACGACCACACCTTTCTCCTCTGTCCCAGCCTCACCTCTGACCTGGTGGATAAGTCCCAGATAAATTTGGGATTCAACCTCTGCTTCGACCATTACTGCATTGTCATTATTGGATCTCAGTGTCCTTACCCGCATAGAGTAAATAATAAAAGTACCTGCCTTGTAGATTTATTGGAAGAATTAAATGAGTATATATATACACGAAGGGCTTACCTTGTCTGCCACCTAACAAGTGGTCAAGAGTCAGTAATGGATTATGGTTATCATTATTGCTATGTACATTCCAAGGCCCAGCTAAAATGCTCACTCCTCCAGGAAGCCTTCCTGAGCTTCTCCAGGTGGAAGTTAGCATTTTCTCCCCCTGGGCTTTCTTCTCACCCTTTCTCTAGTTTTCTTGATATCATATTTCTCCTCTATTGTTGAATTAGAATAATTGAGAAATTAGTCTTCTCTTTCATGGTAAACTCAGAGATGAGGTTTTGTGTTGGAATCAGCCCGTAGGCTCCACTGGTCTGGGCACAGAGCAGGTGCATAAGCAGCATTCAGGGCAGATATCCATTACATCAATTGCAACTATACTATATTTAAAAAAAAAATATATATATATATATACACATATATAAACAGAGTACCTACTATGTGCTAGGCTGTGTTCTGGGGGCTATATGAACCCATTCTTTCCCTATCTTCCACCAAGGTAACAGCCCCTCTTTGGCCTCACACAACCCTTTGGGATGCCCTTTTGGTATTCCTTTATCTCTTTCAGGCTGCTCAGGCTGTTTCTTTCAGTTTGGACTCATCCGCAGTAACCCTCTGCAGGTGGGGGCAAGCTATGGTCTCTCCAGGCGAGGAGAGAGTGCTCAAGCACCTTACAGGTATCTAGCTTTGGGCGCCCCCCCCCCCCGCCAACTCTGCCTCATTTTCCTCCTCTGGAAAACGCTGCTCTCACTGCTTTGCCCTGTGTTGAGGGATTAAACAGGCTCATATGTGTCAAAGTGCCTGGCAGACCGTAGGCCCCTCCCAAATATAATTACTATCCAGCTATGGCCTGAGATTTACTGGACATGTCACAGGGGTACTAACAGGAGGTGCCCTGCCGGAGATTTAACCTGGGCTTTTGTTCTCTTCTTTCATGAGGTGGTTGCCAGGCACATCAGGGTGCAGGCAGGAGAAGAAAGGCACCGAGGCCAGCTTCCCTGAGAAGGGCAGGTGCACAGCAAGGAGCCCTCATGCTCTTGAGAGAAGGATATGAACAGGTGTTTACAATTCTGGATATTTAAAAGAGTTCCCCGCGGTGCTCATGGGCCAGGGGAAAGGGATTTGTTTGGGGTGGAGAGTAGAATCAGTCCTGCTTGGGGGTTCCTGCTGTGTTCTTGTGCCCTGGGAAATAACGAAGTATGAGAAAATGAATAAGAATCATACTTGATGAGCCCTACATGGGGCCTCTGGCTGCTGGTCAGGGGCTTGGTTTCCGCCTTTGCGTGTATCCAAGAAATTGTGTAGGCGTGAGTTTCAACAGTGACACTGTGTGGTAGCAGGAATCCGTGGCCGAGAGAATCCCCGCCCGTTCTGAACTGAACAGACTCCAGTTCCTCTATGCCCGGTATGTGCAAAGCTCATTTTTGTTTTTACTTGGCCTGTCCCCAGGGCTATGGGACAATTTCTTGGGAAGGGAGGAAGCCTCCAGAGGGAGATGCTGGGAAGCATCATGTAGATGTGTGCTTGGGAGATGTGTGCTTGGGAGATTAATTGGAAAAATAAGTGGAATGTGACCATATTTGTGCTCTGAGTTTATGGAGCAGTTCATACCAGTTATATTAATTATCCCAGAAGGCATTGCGAAATGCTAAGAAGAGATTTGGTCTTAATTAACTTTTGTTTTTAGGATTACAAGATGAATAGGTCTTTTGAGGGCAGGGGATGGTCTGTTTCCTGGGCATGGAGGCGATGGAGCCAAAGGTATGTTTGGGATCCAGTCAGAAGGCTGGTGAGTCTGGGTCTTCGCGTCTGTCAGAGAGAGTAGTCAGAGAAGATGGAAATGCAGGTTACTTCTGGACCATGGAAGGCCTCGGGTGCCTCCACTAAGGGGTCTGGAGTAGCTTGGGCACTTTGGAAGGAGCAGTTCCATCTGGCTATACCCATCAGGGGTTTGGGGACTGAAAAGCTGCCTCCTAAGGGCTGATGCAGTCTCCAAGATGGCCACCCATCTAGGAGTCCTAGCGACCTCAGCCCTCAAGCCCTCAAACTCCTTATCCACAGTCCCTGCTCAAAAAACAGCCAACGCGGCAGCTCCGGGTGGCCAGGATTGCAACACCAATGTGTTTGTTCCCCGTGTTTGTGAAATACCTCAGAGGCACTGTTCCAGTCCCACCTGACTAGTTTTCTGATTGCCACATGGCCCTGGCTCTATCTGCCAATACTCAACCAGGGCTGACTAGTCAGAGATTTTGAGATGTTTATGGGTTCAGAACTCAAGAGACCTCATTTCTGTTTGTCTGAGTGAGGAGATCTTACCTTCCATAAGCTTCTGAATATCACTTGTTGGGCTGGGAGGCAGCTCTGTGACCCTGGAGTGAGTAGGGTGACCTTGGGCCAGTCACTTGACCTCTCCAAGCTTTTGTCCCTTTAAATGCATAATGAAGATAATTATTCCTAAGTTGCAAGATTGTGACCCACAAGTATACCACCAGATGGAATGTCAGGTACCAGGTCACTTACTAGGCTTCCTTTCCTTAAAGGTCACTGAAAGCAAAGTTGGCCTCAAATTTCTGAGTCATTAAAATTCAGTCTTGCATTTAATTCTTGCAAATGAATTGCTGTCAATCTTTGACTGAGAGCAGGGAGAAGAGGCCTAGCTAATATATAACATAATAGGAACTCAGAAGCCTCTGGAAATTGGCTCAAAAATATGGTCATGGTCTGAAACCATAAAAATCCTAGAAGAGAGCACAGGTAGTAATTTTCTCTGACATCGACTGTAGCAACTCTTTTCTCTCCTGAGGCAAGGGAAACAAAAGCAAAAAGAAACTATTGGGACTACATCAATATAAAAAGCTTCTGCACAGCAAAGGAAACAATCAACAAAACTAAAAGGCAACCTACTGAATGGGAGAAGATATTTGCAAATGACATATCTGATAAAGGATTAGTATCCAAAATATATAAAGAACCTATACAACTCAACACCCAAAAAACAAATAATCCAATTTAAAAATGGGCAGAAGACAGGAACAGACATTTCTCCAAAGAAGACATGCAGATGGCCAACAGACACATGAAAAGATGTTCATCATCACTCACCATCAGGGAAATGCAAAACAAAACTACAATGAGCTCTCACCTCGCACCTTTAGTCAGAATGGTTAAAATCAACAGCACAAGAAACAACAGGTGTTGGGCAGGATGTGGACAAAAAGGAACCGTCTTGCACTGTTGGTGGGAATGCAAACTGGTGCAGCTGCTCTGGAAATCAGTATGGAGGTTTTTCAAAAAGTTAAAAATAGAACCCCCTAGAATCTGGCTATTGCACTACTGGTTATTTAGCCAAGGAATACAAAAACACTAATTCAAAAGGATATATGCACCCTTATGTATATAGCAGCATTATTTACAATAACCAAATTATGGAAGCAGCCCAAGTGTCCATTGACTGATGAATGGATAAGGAAAATGTGGCAGGCAAATATGTATATATAATGCTAAGTGAAATAAGTCAGTCAGACGAAGACAAATACTGTATAATTTCACTCATATATGAAATTAAAGAAACAAAACAAACTAACAAGGAAAAAAAAAGAGACAAACCAAAAAACAGACTCTTAACTATGGAGAACAAACAGATGGTTACCAGAGGGGAGGTGGGTGAAGGGGGTGGAGGAAATAGGGGATTGGGGATTAAGAGTACACTTATGGGGCACCTGGGTGGCAGAGTTGGTTAAGCGGCTGCCTTCGGCTCAGGTCATGATCCTGGAGTCCCAGGATGGAGCCCCGCATCGCATGGGACTTCCTTCTCAGCCAGGAGTCTGCTTCTCCCTCTCCCTCTGCCCCTCCCCTTGCTCATGCGCACTCTTGTGCTCTCTCTCTCAAATAAATAACGTCTTAAAAAAAAGAGTACACTTACCATGATGAACACTGAGTAATGTATAGAATTGCTGAACCACGATTATCGTACCTCTGAAACTAATATAACACTATGTTAACTATACGGGAATTAAAATTTAAAAATAAAAAGGAATATGGTCAGTGGTATTCAGCCCAAGGAAGCGAGCTGTAGGAGATGTGCGACCTTATGCATCATTTCCTTCATTGCCCTCCTTCTACCAAGGGGATAAAAACTGAATTTACAGAGGGGTAGGGCTCACAATTATTGGGCTTCTATTATGTGCGAAGCATGAAGAGAGTCAGAGAATAGTTATGCATGTGCTTTCTCATCTTGTCATTTCTTCAACCCAAAGAAATAGGCAGCATTATCATTAAATAACAATTGCTCATTTAGTCAAAATTTATTGAGTGATTATTATGTACCAGGCATTGCTTTGGGAGTTAGAACATGGGAGAAAACAGGCCCAGCGTGGTGATATGCCTTGCTCAAGGTCACCCAGCTGGTCCGCAGCGGAGCAGATAAGATCCCTCCTTTACTGAGGCTTTATTTCAGAGCTGTTTTCAATCTGAGATGCTGCACAGGCAGACACACAAATGTGCACACACATGTACATACACACGTGCACACGCTTGCATGCATTCTCACACGCAAGCACACACACCACACAAATGCATACATTCTCACACATTCACTTGTGCTCACACACAAACACACACATGCACAAATATACCCATGGGTGTGCACACACACACCATTCTAGCACACACACCGGATACATATATACTTGCACATACATTCACATGCACCATTCCATTCATTGGGAAAATTTTTTCAAACTGCTGGAATCTGAATATTTCAGAGCAGAAATACTACAGACATAATCTCAAAGGTTTCATTCTGTTTGCTTCCCTCCCTTCCCCCTCCCTCCCCTCCCCACCTCCTGCTCCCCTTTTTCTCCGCTCCCTCCCCATTCTGTGACCTGGCCTCTCTTCCTGATTTTTCCTAGCAGTGCCTTCTTAGGGAACCATTAGGACTTCCAGGCTCGGGTTGCAGTACTCAGCTAGAAAGCAAAGACTCTAAGGCCATCAAAGGCTGACTCTGCCAAACTGGGCTTTCCCCACGCAGCTGCACTAATCTCCCAAAGTCCCCTTCCCGCCCCATCCTCTGCCTCTCTGCCATGAGGTGTGGCATGCTTAGTTCAAGTGCAAACCTTGCGGGCCTGGGTGTCCTCAGCCCCAGCACACACCTCCCTTGCTCTCTCAGGCATGAGCCAAGTGCCTGTGAAGATCTCTTCCAAGTGTTTCGTCACGCCTCGGGGTGGGGATGCATCGAGTTTTGTTTCAACACTGTGCTTCCACCTGGCATTTCATTTGTTAACTAATAAGTGAAGGAACTCCTCCTGATGCTGGCAGCTCTGGTCTGTTGAGTGTTGGTGGGGGCACAGCGGGTCCCACCCCTCGCCCTTTGTGATCACCTGGGAGGTAGGCTGGGGTGCTGGGTTTTAGCTCAGCTCACCGGTGTAAGCAATTCAAGCTCTTCAGAATATTTCATCATCCAGGCAGCTCAAGGTGGGGGTTGTAGAATCTGAGAAACTTTGGCAACTCCCGAGTCTCAGTCCCCGAAGAGTGCCAAGAGTCACCTTCCCCGACTCATCTATAGTCCTTTGGTTTCAGGGCTCTCTTTCTGCATATATAGCTACAACACCTTTGCCTTCACCATTAAAGATCTCAAAAGTGTGCTTACAAACTCCAAGTACTCATTGCAACCTTTGGACTCCAGGGGCTAGCATTTACCCTCTTCATGGCCGTTTGGCCACATTGCCCAACTGGGTGAACTTGCTGGAGGCAGGGTGTTGAGTGCAAGCACTCATAAACAATTCCAAGGCACGGGAGGCAGGATAGTCTGCAGACAGCCCAGGACTGGTTTTGGCAACACGCACTTTGTCTGGGGCAAGCTCACGGTATCTCTCTCTCTCTCCACCAGAGGAGATAAAATGGGCAATGCAAATAGGAGATCCACTGGGGATGGCGCTGTGGAAGTGAACACCACCCAGTGAGAAAGGGAAATGAGCACCCAGGTGCTCATGGGCATGGGGCCAGATTTGGGGATAATTCCCTGATAAAGACATAGAGTTCCAGAGGTGGGGTTCTTTTGGGTACTTAGCTGATAGTCTTCTATGGTGATTGCTTATGCTCAGGTCTTGTGTTGCAACTAGATCATAAACTTAGTGCCCAGGGATCAGAGCTTCAGTTTCTTTTCTCTCTCCTGTACTGCCAAACTCAGACCCTTATGTGTAGCGAGTGTTTGATCAGTGCAAGAAAGGAAAGGAGGCTAGGCTGCATTTATATGATGCTATGTCATGTTCAAAACCCTTTACGGTGAGTCATCCCCTTCTGGTGGCTGAGCTCACTTTCAGGCATGTGAACCCCTCACCTCCCTTCTCTGGTGCCCATTTTTGTGTATAGCATCGTCAGGACTTGGTGAGCTGTCTTGTAACAGGG